GTCTCAGTGGGACCCTCCGGTCCTAACTCAGCAAGCTCAGAATAATACACAACATAAATCACATAGACATAATGCAGGATATCACAATACTCAATATAAGCACATAAGACCCTCCGGTCACACAAAGGTTACCACTCTAGGTAAGTATAGTGAGAAGACTCACCTCGGATGACGAACAGCTCCTATAGAAGCTGCTGCTACGCACCGGCCACTAACTCTGTGCCAAACCCACAATTATCCCAATTAGGAACTAAGTCCAAAACTTTCACTCATTAGGTCTAAAGGTAGTCCACTAACCAACCCATCAATGACCTAAAACCTATTGGGCCCACCAAGGCCCAATAATAGATGGGCTCTCCCAAGGCCCAATTCTCAATATAAATGGCAAACCCAACTCAAGGGCCCAAAGCACAATATAATATTTCTCTGCTCAAAGTCTCTAATGCACAAGCCCAATCATCCATGCCCAACCCTTAAGGACCATTAACAAATTCAGCCCAAAAGCTCACAGTGGGGTTACGCGGGGCGTACCTCCCTTGGTACGCTCGGCGTACACTAGCATGCACTCTGATCGAGGACACCAACCCAGTACACAAGATGTACTGGAATTACGTTGGGTGTACGCCCAGGTTTGCTTAGTCCATTCTCTTGGTCTTAATCCGTTAAGACCTTAGCTCATTTCTCAGATCTGGACTCCCTAATAGCTCTTACTCCATAAAGTCAGTGACTTTAAGCCTTTGCATGGCTGATAAGGTCACTAACACACAAACCTCTTACTCTCTTAACTCAAGATGCTCATATCACATGCATGGGCTGATTCTCACGTTCAAGACCTCATTTTTATGGATCCTCTCCACTAGAAACACTTAAAAGGACAGATAGTGAGCTTTGGAGTGCAACAACTCATAAAGCCTCAAGCTTTGGGACCAAAAACCCTAAAATGGACCATATCATGCACAAAACAAAAGAATGGGAAAGCTTTGAGCTTTATACCTTCAAATGATGCTCCAAACACAGAAAAGCTCAGATCCAAAGCCTGGACTCCAACTCCATTCTCTTCCATGCTCCTTCTTCACTCTAATAATCCCACAAGAACACTTAAAAGCCCACAATGGCCACACACACAAGCTCAAGAACGAGGATTAGGGTTTGAGAGGGTTTATTGACTGAGGATGGTGGCCAGGAATGAGGCCATCTCATTCTTTATATAGAGATACTCCCCTCAATTAGGGTTTTCCTTTTGTGCCTAGTACGCCCAGCGTACCCTCTGGTATGCCCAGCGTACTAGGTGGCTCCGCTTCATTTTCACGTTGATGACTACGCTAAGCGTACACACATGTACGCCCAGCGTACTCAGCTGCCACTTTTCTCAATTAAGGGACTTATCTCGCCAAGACTTCATGCTCGGGTTGCGGACCACGAACCTTCAATCACGGACGACCCGAAACAGGATGTTACAGTTTTGCGGCGGCAATAATGGATTTAAGAAGAAAAACTCTTTCAGTGGCAATAGAAAGTTAGAAGGACTTACGTTGCCAAACTACAAAAGTTAGGGACCAAAGCCATGCATAGAAACTTAGGAGGACTTAATTAGCCATAACATTAAATTCAGGGACCAAAGATTAACTGTTTACAACTCTCTGCAAAAGGATACGACTGTGTATAGGAGGTATCTTTATCAGCATAAACATTTAGCTCATGGTATATTATGGTGTTGTGTCTGCAAAAGCTACATGATCCTGTACATATTAATGTTGTATCGTATCCCATGAATTCGATCTTAAAGCCAAGTAAACTAAAAAATCACAGCACTTGTGATTCCACTCGTTTGTAGACAGTGGCGAAGCTTCAATCAATCATTAGGGGGAGGGGCAAAAATATAATTTGTATAAAAATTGGTGAAAGGGGGGGGGGGCATAGTCAAATTTTTATATTTTTGGACCTAATATGTATAATAATAAAGTACAGAGACTACTTCTGCCAAAAAAATCAGGGGGGGGGGGCACAACCCCCTACCCCTATATAAGATCCGCCCTTGTTTGTAGACATGTCCAGAATTCATGATATAATAAATCATTTGATTGGAAATGTACATGTAGTCATGAAATGCACCTACTCAATCAAGATTCCCCTAATAAATATTGAAATGCATTCTAAAGTTGTACATGTATGAAAAATGTTTTTTCGTGGGTTATGTTTTGAAGAGAAGCAAAAATGAATCTCATAAAGTCATTAATATGAGCAGAAAATGACGTGAGATTTTCTGTAAATGAGTAAAAGGAAAATGATTCAGGAAGGTAACCAACTGTTGAGTTTGTTCACATTTAGTCATGTTCTCCTTTTTTTTTGTACGTAATATAACATCGAACTTGTTGTTTGTGACTCTTTTACTCGGCTATCACATGTGATAGCCGATGAGAAAAGTTATGATGAACACAACCAACAAGTTGGATGGTATATTGCATAAAAAAAGACCAATTATTAACATACTCAATAGTTAGTTATCTCATTCATTCATTTTCCCTTTTTTATAGTCTTCGTAAAAATTATGTGTTCAAATTTACGAATATTCACTGAAAACATATATGCCACTCCAAAAATATAATTTGTATAAAAATTGGTGAAAGGGGGGGGGGGATAGTCAAAATTTTATATTTTTTGACCTAATATGTATAATAATAAAGTATAGAGACTACTTCTGCCAAAAAAATCAGGGGGGGGGGGGGCACAACCCCCTACCCCTATATAAGATCCGCCCTTGTTTGTAGACATGTCCAGAATTCATGATATGATAAATCATTTGATTGGAAATGTACATGTAGTCATGAAATGCACCTACTCAATCAAGATTCCCCTAATAAATATTGAAATGCATTCTAAAGTTGTACATGTATGAAAAATGTTTTTTCGTGGGTTATGTTTTGAAGAGAAGCAAAAATGAATCTTATAAAGTCATTAATATGAGCAGAAAATGACGTGAGATTTTCTGTCAATGAGTAAAAGGAAAATGATTCAGGAAGGTAACCAACTGTTGAGTTTGTTCACATTTAGTCATCTTCTCCTTTTTTTTGTACGTAATATAACATCGAACTTGTTGTTTGTGACTCTTTTACTCGACTATCACATGTGATAGCCGATGAGAAAAGTTATGATGAACACAACCAACAAGTTGGATGGTATATTGCATAAAAAAAAGACCAATTATTAACATACTCAATAGTTAGTTATCTCATTCATTCATTTTCCCTTTTTTATAGTCTTCGTAAAAATTATGTGTTCAAATTTACGAATATTCACTGAAAACATATATGCCACTCCAAAAATATAATTTGTATAAAAATTGTATAAAAATTGGTGAAAGAGGGGGGGGGGGGGGATAGTCAAATTTTTATATTTTTGGACCTAATATGTATAATAATAAAGTATAGAAACTACTTCTGCCAAAAAAATCAGGGGGGGGGGGCACAACCCCCTACCCCTATATAAGATCCGCCCTTGTTTGTAGACATGTCCAGAATGGGGGGGGGGGGGGTGCACAACCCCTACCCCAATATAAGATCCGCCGTTGTTTGTAGACATGTCCAGAATTCATGATATGATAAATCATTTGATTGGAAATGTACATGTAGTCATGAAATGCACCTACTCAATCAAGATTCCCCTAATAAATATTGAAATGTATTCTAAAGTTGTACATGTATGAAAAATGTTTTTTCGTGGGTTATGTTTTGAAGAGAAGCAAAAATGAATCTCATAAAGTCATTAATATGAGCAGAAAATGACGTGAGATTTTCTGTAAATGAGTAAAAGGAAAATGATTCAGGAAGGTAACCAACTGTTGAGTTTGTTCACATTTAGTCATCTTCTCCTTTTTTTTGTACGTAATATAACATCGAACTTGTTGTTTGTGACTCTTTTACTCGGCTATCACATGTGATAGCCGATGAGAAAAGTTATGATGAACACAACCAACAAGTTGGATGGTATATTGCATAAAAAAAAGACTAATTATTAACATACTCAATAGTTAGTTATCTCATTCATTCATTTTCCCTTTTTTATAGTCTTCGTAAAAATTATGTGTTCAAATTTACGAATATTCACTGAAAACATATATGCCACTCCAAAAATATAATTTGTATAAAAATTGTATAAAAATTGGTGAAAGGGGGGGGGGGGATAGTCAAATTTTTATATTTTTGGACCTAATATGTATAATAATAAAGTATAGAGACTACTTCTGGCAAAAAAATCAGGAGGGGGGGTGGCACAACCCCCTACCCCTATATAAGAACCGCCCTTGTTTGTAGACATGTCCAGAATGGGGGTTGGGGGGGCACAACCCCCTACCCCTATATAAGATCCGCCCTTGTTTGTAGACATGTCCAGAATTCATGATATGATAAATCATTTGATTGGAAATGTACATGTAGTCTTGAAATGCACCTACTCAATCAAGATTCCCCTAATAAATATTGAAATGCATTCTAAAGTTGTACATGTATGAAAAATGTTTTTTCGTGGGTTATGTTTTGAAGAGAATCAAAAATGAATCTCATAAAGTCATTAATATGAGCAGAAAATGACGTGAGATTTTCTGTAAATGAGTAAAAAGAAAATGATTCAGGAAGGTAACCAACTGTGTTTGTTCACATTTAGTCATCTTCTCCTTTTTTTTGTACGGAATATAACATCGAACTTGTTGTTTGTGACTCTTTTACTCGGCTATCACATGTGATAGCCGATGAGAAAAGTTATGATGAACACAACCAACAAGTTGGATGGTATATTTAAAAAAAAAGACCAATTATTAACGTACTCAATAGTTAGTTATCTCATTCATTCATTTTCCCTTTTTTTATAGTCTTCGTAAAAATTATGTGTTCAGATTTACGAATATTCACTGAAAACATATATGCCACTCCAACAAAAAAGAACCCAAAACCTTATCACAATTCATTTTCATGGCGCCTCAAACTAAAAAACCTGCAACTTAAAACATGTTATCGACTCCGTTCGGCGCCGCCACCAGTAGCTCCACAGTGCCAACTACCACGGGACGCGGACCTTCCCAATCACCAGAAACGCTTGCGTCGCTAATCACCACCTCTAAAAACATCACCCAACTCCTCCAGATCCACGCAGCTGCAATCCGCCATGGCTTTCATAACCACCCTGTTGTAAATTTCAAATTGCAGCGCTCTTACTCATCGTTTGGCCGCCTTGATTCATCTCTTGCACTTTTTAACCGCACCCATGATCCAAATGTCTTCTTCTACACTTCCATCATCCACGCTCACGCCGCCTATAATCTCCATATGCGAGGAATACAATTATACATCCAAATGATGTCACAAGATGTAGAACCCAATGAATTTACATTCTCTGCTCTGCTAAAGGGTTGTCCTTTAGAACCCGGAAAACTGCTTCACCCCCACGTAATTAAACTCGGTTTTGATTGTAATATGCACGTGAGAACAGCTCTGGTTGATGTCTATTCAAGAGGCGGCGACCTGGTTTCTGCTCGCCAACTGTTCGACACTATGCCTGAGAGAAGTTTGGTTTCCTTGACTTCCATGATAACAGGGTACGCCAAGCACGGCGACCTCATCAACGCACGGACATTGTTTGATCGTATAGCAGACAAGGATGCCGTATGTTGGAATGTAATGATCGGTGGGTATGCAAAGTATGGAAAACCAACCGACGCCATAACCCTGTTTAGAAAAATGCTGCAAACAAAGATGAACCCTAACGAAGTCACATTAGTCGCAGTTCTCTCTGCCTGTGGACAGATCGGAGCTTTGGAATCAGGAAGATGGATTCATTCTTACATCCAAAACAACGGAATCCATATCAACATTCATCTGGGAACTGCTTTAATCGACATGTACACCAAATGTGGTAGCTTAGAAGACGCGCTAAACATCTTCAATAACCTCAAGAACAAAGACGTCATCACCTACAACTCCATGATCTCAGGCTACTCAATGCACGGGTATCACCAAGAAGCTTTACTTCTGTTTCACGATATGCACAAGAATCATAAACAACCCACCGCCATCTCATTCATCGGAATCTTGAATTCCTGTGCTCATTCCGGCCTAGTCTCAATCGGAAAGGGAATCTTTCTTTCCATGGAAACCAAACACAAAATCAAACCAACAATCGAGCACTACGGATGTGTCATCAACCTTCTAGGTCGAGCCGGTTTTCTCAACCACGCATACACACTCACCAACAACATGAACATAAACAACATCAAACCTGATCCAATCATATTTGGAACTTTACTCGATTCATGCACCCTCCATAAAAACATCGAATTAGCCGAAAAGATTGTAAAGTTCTTGATCGATCATAATCTTGCGAATTCAGGAACTTATATCCTTCTTTCAAACTTATACGCGTCCACTTCAAATTGGGCCGGTGTGGCCCGCATGAGGGCATTGATGAAGGAGCACGGGGTGCAAAAAGAACCGGGGTGTAGCTCGATTGAGGTTAACCACAAGGTGCATGAGTTTGTTGCAGGTGATATGAAACACCCGAAAAGTGAAGAGATATATGGGATGGTGGAGGAGATGAATGGGTGGTTGGAAAGCCATGGTTATAGGCCACAGACGGATGTGGTGTTGCAGGATATTGGGAAGAGGGAAAGAGTGAGATCATTGGAGGTTCATAGTGAGAAGCTTGCTATTGCATTTGGGCTTATTAGTACAAAGGCTGGAAGTAGTATCAAGATTGTGAAGAATCTTAGGGTTTGTTTGGATTGTCATGAGGTGACAAAATTGATTTCGAAAGTTACAGGTCGAAGGATTGTTGTTAGGGATCGGAATCGGTTTCATCATTTTGTTGATGGGTTGTGTTCTTGTGGGGATTATTGGTGATATTAATTCATTTGATAGGTTAAGTAATTATATGACCCTTTTTTTTTTCTTTTTGAATGGGGACATTTGTATGGAAGGTAAATAAGAAATGACTTTATTTAAAGATAAGAGTAGTTACTACTTACTAATCATTTTAATTTATTTGTATGGAAGGTAAATACAAACATAACACACATTAGTACATTCTCTTAGATCTAAAGGATTCAGCCTAGTCAACAACCCTAAAACCTTAATCCTGTTTTACCTTGAATTTTAATGCATCCAGTTAAAGAATATAGTAATCTTTTGCGTGATTGAAGGAGTTGTGTGATGAAATTTTGTGGGTCTTCTAATTGCAGCCACTGCGGTTATTTTATCTATCCGCAATGTTCTACTAGACTACTACCACTCCGGTCGAGCAACCTACAAAAGGGTAACCTAATTAAATAGATATATTTCCACAAGGTACATGGTCTGTTGAAGATGCTATCAAAACCCCTCCTTTTTTTTACAATTTATAATGTAGTTATTAGGTGGTTTTTACTTTTTAGGTCCCCAATTAACAATGAATGTTTTTATGACTTCATTTAATTAGGCTGTCTAAGTGTGATTAGTCAATAAACACTCTTCCCCTTCACCACCACATCACCATCGCTATTCCATATTCTTTCCACCACTCTCTTCACTCTCCTAATTTCTTAAAATTTAATTATAAACAATAACTATCCTCTATCCTAATAAATAAGTAGAATAACGCCACGTGTCAGTCTCCCAGACCCCCAAAATAGTGTTTTCCGGCTTCTTTTCTTCAGGTCGATTTACGTAAATGCCCTTCAGTTCATATAGAGGCAATAAATCCGGAAAAAACTGCACCAAAAAAATGCATTCAAAAAATTAAAATGAATAAAAGATAAAAGATTTGCAAATAATATGCAAAAATCGGATATTGAAATTTCAAATTCGAAATTCCCGATTAAATATGGAAGTTTGTTTATTGTGATTGGAAATTAAATAATTTCCAGTGATTAAATCCCAAAAAATCTGCACCAAATTATAAAATACCGAAATATATACCACTAATATACCATATATACACTTCTTTTGTGTTCAGAGAATTCTTTGCAAACGGTATTCTTCTTCAGTTCTTCTTCACTGTTTTTAACATAATTTATTCAATCATTGAAGTTGCTAACATAAGTTCTTCAATCCTTATCCTTCCTGTCGATACCAGGTTTACTGCATAATCATCCTCCTCCCTCTTAATCCTGCAACGCTTCCATAATCACATATTAGGTTAGTGTTTTCAAATTAATTTGTAGTATCTATGTAACATTTTATGTTATGATCGTTTTCTTTTTGTTAGAATAAGCCAATGTAATCTTATCAGAAAATTTAAAAAGATGCCCCATTTAATCCTGTTCTGTGAGGTACAACCTGCATTCGCTTTCTGCATAGGTTTGAAGAATCTATATTCTGCAGGATTTGAAGATTTTCTACATCCGGTAATTTTTTTTTGTTGTGTGTGTTTGATTCATCTTTTTATATCATCTTTGTTTCATGCTATTCGATTTCAAGATTCATTCTTCTCCTACAATTGAAGATTCTTTACTTTGTTACATTTGGTTCATTACATTCCATTATATAAACATTATCCAAGAAAAAAATGCAGAAAATTGGTAAATGCATAAAAAGGTCAAAAGATTGTACATTTGAATTGACCCCGGTTGGATGGAAGGGTATAACAGTATTTTTCTGGAAAAAAACAACATAATGGTTAAAAAAGAAAATGTTTTGACAGAATCAGAGACCATTCCTATAACTTTTTTATACATACACACACATTGCTATTTGTTGCATTTGGGTGGTAAATGCATGAAATAGCAATGTACTTTACTGATAACTAACAAATACAATTGTACATTGAATTGATACCTATTTGTTTATGTTTGTTGCAATTTAGTTTGATTTTTTTTAACAAAAAGCATAACTTTTTCTAGAAAGGAAAACACAAACACCAACTAAACCTACTCCTAATTCTACACCTTTTGTCCACTACGGGACCTGAACCCTCAACAACTCTCTTTTTATCATTAAATTTTACAAAGAATTAACATCTAATCTAATTAAAAATCGTATGTTTTCAAGTTTTAATATAAAATAATGTCTAATAAAAAACGATTCATATTATATGTGGCTTTTTTCGACTAACCCGAACCCAGATTTCCAGATACCCGAATTACCTGTACCCGAATAGCCAGAAAACCGAATGCTTCGGTCATACCCCAAAAACTAATTTACTTGAACCTAAATAATCTGGAATCCAATTAACCCATCCGAATAACCCCCCTTATAGGGGGACCGTAGAAGGATTTCAATTCCACTCTTTCTATTTTTATTTAAAGACCAAAATACCCCCGCTATATATTGCCATTGTGGGTGGTTACCTCACTCATTGTTGCATCAATGAAAGTTGAACATCGTTTGTTCCAGGTGATGGATCAGAAACAAGTTGGGTAGATATGAAATTCTGCAGTTCATGATGTAGGAGATATATCTTGGGACTTCAAAAAACAAAAAACAAGAAATCGATGAGCCTAATACTATAAAATGTTAAATGAATTTAATAATAATCAGAAATATACCTTATTTCGACTCTACCGATAAAGCAACGCACAACATGCATAACCATACTAATAATGCTCTCATCTGCAGTCAACAACATAAACTGATTTCCTAACATTTTAGGATATACAATCAAAATAATTTATGAAGAAAATATTCTAAAAATTTATTCTATAACTGAAATTATAATCCCATATTCAATAATAAAAACATAACCTATAAACTTCCAATGATTTCAAACAATTTATTTTGCTTAAGTAAAAGTTTACCAGAATTTTATCCCGTCGCTTAGATATGTTCTTCAATCTATCTTCGATTCGTAAATATTGTTCTCTTCTTCTGTGTAATTGAAATCAACCACAATTAGGGATGACAAAAATCCCCATACCCAATGGGGAATCCGAAACCCGCCCCCGTTTTGACCGGGGAATCCCCAAGTTGACCGGGGATGGGGATGAGGATGGGGAATCCCGGAATAAAAAAAGTGGGGATGGGGATGGGGATGGGGATGGGGATACCCTTAGACCCCGACCCTGGACCCAGCCCCAGTATATGTATATTAATATATACAAATAATGCAAAACATATATTTATAGTATACTTTATAATATCTAAAAAGTTTGTCGAAGTAACCAAACTCATTAGTCATTACTTGGTTGAAATTGTACTTTTCCTTCTTCTTTTATCTAATTTAACCTCATGTATAATTTTTTTTCTCCTTGGTTTATCTATTTTACCTCAAATATCACTCTGATATTTTTTTTCTATTTGATTTTTTCATGTATTTATTTAAATTTTGTAGAAAATTTGTTTATAATTTTTATGCAATCTATGAATATTTTTATGTTTTTTAAAATATTTAAACTTATGTATGCAAAATTTAAATTTAGATTTTTTCCTTATGTAAAAGTTTTCATATTAAAAGAGAAAAAAAGTCTCTGATTCCCCGCTCGGGATCCCCGGTCGCCGACAGGGGTGGGGATGGAGATTCATTTATATTACCCGATGGGGATGGGGACGGGGATGGGGATTGGAATGAGAATTTGGGGATGGGGATGAGGATTGGTCCCTGTATTCCCCGCTCCCTTTTCCATCTCTAACCACAATTACCTTTATCATCATTTCTCATAAATGTATTTTTTTTCTTCATTTCTTCTCTCGATTGGTACGACAGCAAAGGGGGTTTTTGTTTAAAGAAATAGCAAAACCTAACATTTCTGTCACATTAAGGAAGGATAGGATTTTACAAACTTCAAAACACACCCCTAAAGTTTGATATATGCTGTTTTCCCCTGTTATGATTTATTTTCTTTTCTTATTATAACCACAATATTATTTTAAACAAACAAGAATTGCTATCATTTATGTATACAATAAAAAATTTGTATGAATAATTCATTTTTGTCCATTTTGTTTAATAGATAATTTTTAACAATATAAATATTTTGTTTAAGGAATTTAAACAAATTCGTTGTATTCAAACATTTTAAATATACATATATAAATATATAAATATATATATATATATATATATATATATATATATATATAGATATATATATATATATATCATATTATTTAAAATTCATACATTATTTAAAAATTTAATTAATATTTAAAAAAACCATATAAATCAATATAACATTATTTCAATAAACTATTTATAAAATTCATACATTGTTTTCTTTGATATAACTTTTATATCCAATTTTCTTTTATATCCAATTTTCTTATTACTATTTGTGTTATTAACTAATTTTATCAAAATGTTTATAATTTTCATCATCATTTAATATCTACAAATAATTTTAGAACCATTACCTTTGATAAAGAAAACATCAACTCTGATAAATCATGTGTATATCAACATACAAATATTCATTCTCTTTTTACAAATATAATAGCTCCTTATCCTACATTTCAAGAAGTATGGATTGTTATGTACATTTTCTTTTTAAAATACATAGTTGATTAATAACTACTTGCAAATATATGATTAATATTATGCTTTTTAAAGTTTTAATGTTGTTTTGCTTTTTTAACCGTGTGATACACGGGCTATAACCTAGTTAAATATATAAGAGTAAATCACATAATTTGTGCATGGTCCAAATCGCTTGTTTAGTCAATATTTTTATTTTTACATTCGACCGCATTTGATATCTTTAGAACTTATACATTTTATCCTTGATATTATTAACAAAACATAAAAAAATCTATTTGTCGTTATCTACATATTTTTAAATTGTTTATAATTTATTAACTATATTCGGGTTCGGTCCTGAAAATTTAAATATCTTCAAATGCTTTGGACGAACCAGAAAAAAAGACTCTTATCGTTATTATAAGTTATATATATATATATATATATATATATATATATATATATATATATATAT